ATGGTTTTAGAGTGACTTGTTAATGTGCTGCTCTTGGGATGGGCTGGTGGGACGTGTGAGGAGCCTGCCCGTGTTCAGCTGGCTGCCAGCTCCTCCCACTGCACGGGCTGCTGCGAGCATCCCCACCACGTACAGAAGGTGCCCTCCACCGCGCCGTTTCCCAGGGAAGCCGTAGGGTGTCTCGCTCCGGATGTTCAAATCCACAGGGAAGCCCCGCCCCGAGGTTCGGCCCCGCCTCCTCCCCGCCCCGCCCCGGGGCCCGTCCCGTCCCGGCGGAGGCAGGAAGCGCCCAGTCCGGCCGCGGCGGAGGGCGGGCCATGGAGCTGCCCCGGTGGGAGCTGCTGGCGGTCAGCGAGGAGCTGGACGAGGCCGAGCTGGCGGCGCTGAAGTTCCTGAGCCGGGAGCACGTCCCCAGGAGGAGGCTGGAAGCCGCCCGCAGCGCGCACGACTTGTTCGAAGCGCTGCAGGAGAGGGGCGCGCTGGAGGCGGGGAACTTGGCCTTCCTCAGGGAGCTGCTCTACCGCATCGGGAGGATCGACCTCCTGGCTGCCCACCTGGGCTCCAGCCGGGAGCAGGTGGAGCGGGAGCTGCAGGTTGCCCGCCCGGGCGGGGCGCGGGTGCCGCCCTACAGGTGAGTGCGGGCCGGGCAGAGCCCTCTCCTGCTCTGAACGCCGCGCTGAGCTCCGGCTGCACCCGAGCGGCTTCCAGGAGAAAGCAGGAACAGGCTGTACGGGAAGGTGGCATTTCAGCCCAGCAGAAGGGAGGACACCGGGTTGTGCGGGGGGCGGACTGGGCGAAAGGGGCAGTGCAATAGTGTTAAATTGTGCTTGCGAACGCAATGAAACAGTTCCCTCCACTTCTCTTTCTAGATACTTGCTCTTTCAGCTCTCAGAAGACATCACCAAAGATGAGCTGATGTCTTTCAAGTTACTTTTGGATGGAGAATTACCAAAAAGCAAGCTAACCCCTGAGACTGTAAGAATTTATTTAAGAATTTTTAAAATTATTATTATAATCCATAGAGGAAATAGGGTTGCCCTGGGGAAATGGATCTCTTCTTTATGGCGTCACTCTTAAGGTGAAAACACCACAAGAAAAAGGGTGGCCCTGGGGCACATGGGATTTGTCTGTGCTGGTGTTGGGCACAGCCTTTGCAGCCATGTCACAGCCAGTGTGCCAGGCACTGAGGGTGTCACATCCAAGCACCACACGAGGCTCAGGGCACTCAGTGGCTTTAATCAATGAAAGACTGATGAGCATATTCACTCCTCTTGCCCAACTGGTTTTTCTTTGCTGCTTTCTAAGCCATTATCAAATACAGAAAACCACCTGCTGTGGATATTATTTTATGATTTTGGTTTTTTTTATTTCCAAGTGCAGAAAATACAGATCTAAGCAGCAGATCCTTAAGAAGGCTAAGGCCAGTGAGCTTGGAGTTTACAAATAGCCTTGGAGGAGATCCAGTGCTCTTATGGTGTCCCAGCCTGCTGGGTACTTTGTTCTGTCTAATGAGCACTTTGAGGATAGACTATGATCATATAGTGATAGCTGTTCTAGTAACAGTAGTGGGGTGACCACTGTGTTCTGCCACTCACTGTTTGACAAGAGCTTCTGTCCCTTCAGTCCCCTTTTGCTTCACAGCAATCTCTACACCATACTTGTGTGGTTATACTCCTTTTGCCATTGCTTAAGATGGTCAGTACAGTGATTCTTGTGTTTCACCTAATTGCAGAAGATAGCCACTGGAAGTCAAATGAATGAAAGCATTCAAAATGGTATTATATATTCCTGTATGACCACCATTAGATCTGGGTTAGATCATGTCAGATCTTGGCAACTCTGAGCTGGAGAAGGGAAACGAGTATGTTTTGAGGCTATGTTTTTACTTAACAGTACTGGTAGGTTTTGTTGAACTAGGTTTAATTGGCTCAGCTGAGGTCTCAACTGAGCTACCAGTCAGCTGAACTGACTCTGTGGCTTGCATGTACTGTCAGTACATTAAAGCTTAGGTGCACATGCTCTAACTTTACTCCCCGTGGCAGCATGGATGTGCCCTAAGAGCAAACTGCCTTTCTGATTACCCAGACAATGCTTGACATTTTCATTGAGATGGAGAAGAAGGGGCTTCTGGGAAAAGACAACCTAAGCGTGCTGAAGAGTCTCTGTGAAAAAATTAACATCAGCCTGTGGAACAGAATTGAAGATGGATTAAACCTATTTGGTAAAACAAAACAGCCTCTCCCCCTTAGTTATTCTTGAAGTAACCCATAGGTATCATACAGGACTAATTATAAATCCTTTTCAGGTCAAGAAGAGATGCTTATCACAGAGGAAGAGAGGGGAAGCACGGGAGGCCCTGAAGGATATCTGGCATTATCTGTGACACCTGAATTTCCTGGCAGTTGTAATATCTCTTCCCAGGTATGTCATTTTCTTAGAAACATCATCGTTTTGTCTTTGAAGAGATCACCCCTCCATGAAGTGAACAGTTATTATAGACCAATTGTTAAAAGTATGGTCTAGAAAGAAGAACGCACCACTCTACATCCATTATTCTGTGGCTCTGTCACAGGCACAGC